AGGGGACTGGAATGCAAAAGTAGGAAGTCAAGAGATACCTGGAGTAACAGGCAAATTTGGCCTTGGAGTACAGAATAAACCAGGGCAAAGACTATTAGAGTTTTGCCAAGAGAACGCACTGGTCATAGCAAACACCTTCTTTCAACACAAGAGAAGACTCTACACATGGACATCACCAGATGGTCAATACTGAAATCAGATTGATTATATTCTTTGCAGCCAAAGATGGAGAAGCTCTATATACAGTCAGCAAAACAAGACCGGGAGCTGACTGTGGCTCAGATCATGAACTCCTTATTGCAAAATTCAGACTTAAATTGAAGAAAGTAGGGAAAATCATTAGACCATTCAGGTATGACCTAAATCAAATCCTTTACGATTATACAGTGGAAGTGAAAAATATATTTAAGGGACTAGATCTGATAGACAGAGTGCCTGAAGAGCTATGGACGGAGATCCGTGACACTGTACAGGAGACAGGGATCAAGACCATCCCCAAGAAAAAGAAATGCAAAAAATCACAATGGCTGTCTGAGGAGGCCTTACAAGTAGCTGTGAAAAGAAGAGAAGTAAAAAGCAAAGGAGAAAAGGAAAGATATACCCATTTGAATGCAGAGTTCCAAAGAATAGCAAGGAGAGATAAGAAAGCTTTCCTCAGTGATCAATGCAAAGAAATAGAGGAAAACAATAGAATGGCAAAGACTAGAGATCTCTTCGAGAAAATTAGAGATACTAAGGGAACATTTCCTGCAAAGATGNACCCTGCTTATTTAACTTATATGCAGAGTACATCATGAGAAACACTAGGCTGGACGAAGCACAAGCTAGAATCAAGACTGCTGGGAGATGTATCAATAACCTCCACCACCTTATGACACCACCTTTATGGCAGAAAGTGAAGAAGAACTAAAGAGCCTCTTAATGAAAGTAAAAGAGGAGAGTGGAGTGAAAAAGTTGACTTAAAGCTCAACATTCAGAAAACTAAGATCACGGCATCTGGTTCCATCACTTCATGGCAAACAGATGGGGAAACAGTGGATGACTTTACTTTTGGGGGCTCCAAAATGACTGCAGATGGTGACTGCAGCCATGAAATTAAAAGACACTTACTCCTTGGAAAGAAAGTTATGACCAACCTAGACAGCATATTAAAAAGCAGAGACATTACTTTGCCAACAAAGGTCCATCTATTAAAGGGTATGGTTTTTCCAGTGGTCATGTGTGGATGTGAGAGTTGGACCAAAAAGAAAGCTGAGTGCCAGAGAATTGATGCTTTTGCACTGTGGTGTTGGAGAAGACTCTTGAGAGTCCCTTGGACTGCAAGGAGATCCAACCAGTCCATCCTAAAAGAGATCAGTCCTGGGTCTTCACTGGAAGGACTGACGTTGAAGCTGAAACTCCAATACTTTGGCCACCTGAAGTGAAAATCTGACTCATTTGAAAAGACACTGATGCTGGGAAAGATTGAGGGCAGGAGGAGAAGAGGACGACAGAGGATGAGATGGTTGGATGGCATCACTGACTCAATGGACATGAGTCCATTTTTAGTGGACTCTGGGAGATGGACAGGGAGGCCTAGCGTATTATGGTTCATGGGGTCGCAAAGAGTCGGACACGACTGAGCGACTGAACTGAAACAAATCGAATTTACTCTCATTTTTAAAAGTTTGTTAACTAATTTTATTTATTTATTACGGATTCACTGCCATGTGGACTTTTTTCTAGTTGCAGAGCATGAGGGCTTCGCATTGCAGTGACTTCTCTTGTTGCAGAGCAAGGGCTCTAGGGCACGTGGGCTCAGTAGTTTTAGTTTCGGCTCCCCAGCTCTAGAGCACAGGTTCAGCAGTGCTGGCACATGGGCTTAGCTGTTCTGAGGCATGTGGGATCTTCCCGGACCAGAGATCAAACCTGTATCTCCTGCACTGGCAGGTGGATTCTTTACCACTTAGCTACCAGTGAAGCCCTGCTCTCATTTTTTAAATTCCATTGAAACATCAAGAATAAAGTGCCAGGCCTAGATGGATGCATTGGTGCTTTCTATCAAATATTCAACAAAAAATTAAAAAATAAAAATGATCCTATACCAAAATCTTTCAAGAATCAGAAGAACAAACACATCTCATATCATTTAAAGACAGCAATGTCCTAATTCTAAAGCCAGACAATCACAAGAAAGCAAAACCAAGATGATTCTCCCTTATGTGTGTGTGTTAAGTCACTTCAGTTGTGTCCGACTCTTTGCGACCCTATGTACTGTAGCTTGCCAGGTTCCTCTGTTCATAGGACTGTCCAGGCAAGAATACTGGAGTGGGTTGCCATGCCCTCCTCCAGGGGATCTTCCTGACCCAGGGATCAAACCCACACCTCTTCTGACTCCTGCACTGACTTGCAGGTTCTTTTCCACTAGCGCCACCTGGGAAGCCCATCTCCCTGATGTATCTCTAAAGGAAACAATCTTAAGATGACATTAGAAGACATGAAAACCATCAGGATACACTCCACTCATGAATGGAAGACTGAATATAGTAAAGATGACAACTCTTCCCAAATTAATGTGTTATATTCAAAGCAATTCCTATTGAAACCTCAAAAAGATTTCTTATGGGATTTAATAAACTAATCACAAAAATTAGTATGAAGGATCTAAGGGCCAAGAATAAATAAGGTAGAGAACAACTTGGTACAAGGAGTAAGGAAAGCAATTAACCTACTGGATACTGTCTTATTTTAGAACTAAAGTAATTAAAACACTGTATTATGTATGCATAGCTAGACAAAACAGAATAGAAAAGCTCAAAAACAAACATGTATATATCAAAGCTATGTGGGAATATGACATTATCCAATCAGTGAGGAAAGGATGTCCTATTTCAGGAGTTGGCAAACATTTTCTGTTAATGGCCAGACAATAATATATTAAGCTTTGAAGCCCATATAGTCTCTGTCACAACTACTGAACTCTGATGTTGTAGCACAGGAGAAGCCAGACAATAAATGTAAAAAATGGATGTTCCTGTGTTCCAACAGAATTTTATTTACAAATACAGATAGTGAGAAGACTTCCCCAGTGGTCTAGTGGCTAAGAATCCACTTTTCTTTTTTTTTTTTTTTTAGAATCCACTTTTCAATGCAGGAAACAAGGGTTTGATCCGTGGTTGGGGAATTAAAATCCCAAATGCCTCAGGGTCAACTCAGCAGGCACCAAAACTAGAGAAGCCCTCTCACCACAATTTAAGATCCCACACACTGCAACTAAAACCTGAAAGAGCCAAATGAATAAATAAATTTTTTAAAAACAACAAACAGATGGTGAGCCAGATTTGGCTCATGGGCCATGGTTTTCCAAATAGCAACAGAACAATGACAAAACTTTACTAACAGCCATTTATCGCATCATGCACCAACAAAGTTTCAGGTGAACTAAAGTTCTAATGTGAAAAAAGAATACAACATAAATTATATTCATTATTTTTCACAATAAAAGTTATTTTAATATAAAACATAGAAAATAAGGCATATAAATTGTTTAACTCAGTATTGATCAAGAACCTTCCTACTTTGTATGTTAACTCAAAAAGACAAGATACAAAATCTCACCATTTTACTTCTTGTACACATGTGTGCCCGTACCCTCATATGTGAATGACCTTCCTATAACTTTAGAAAGCATTTCAGTGTCTTCTCTTAAATTCTTAATCCAGTGCTCATTTTAAAGCCGTGCTACTAATTTATCTGAGTAGGATCCTATGAGGCCTTCTCAGCAGATTCCCCCGCACCCATGTCCTCCACCTGCCTCTTATTTACAGCAAAGCTTTAGCCTCCAAGGACTTCCCTGAATTCCACAGAACAAAATTTAATCAGAGTTGAGAAAATAAAGAAATCAAGCAATACAAAATAATAGTTCAGCCATAAAACAAAGTCAAAAGTCTTCAGTCTCCCCTTAAAGGTTATAGATGATATTCTGAACCATATTCTTTGAGCTACTCTGCAGATACTAAAACCCATACCAGGTGTAAGAAGTTAACTGCATGCTGACCCAGAGCAGTTGGAACCAGAAGATCAAGGATACTGACTCCCAATGACTTCACCACCAACCAATTAGAAAAACGTCCATGTTTTGATCATATACCCCCCAACCCTCCCTAATAAGGGAGTCTGAGCCTTGTGAGCATCAGCTACCTTGACTGCTCGTTTGGTGCCTTCAACAAATGCTAAATCTTCCTTCACCACAACCCAGTGTCCGGAGACTAGCTTTGCTGCACACCGGGAAGGAATCCAAGTTTGGATTGGTAACACTAATGTAACTGCTTCGGCCTTCCCCATCTCACTTCCTTCAGAACAGTCGTCAGAGTAAAGACACACACGGTTAACGAAGAGAAGTCTTTCCTGTCAGCGGCTGTTTCAATGTTCTGGGTCGAGCCTCGACGTTTGACAGCCCTGTTGGCCTTGCTCTGTTTCAAGGTCTGAACAGTACACCTAATGCCAATATGGCATGTGTCAGCAGGGTACGACCAAGAACAAAACAGTCATGTATTCGATACGAATCTATCCTCATCAAGAGTCAGCAACTGGGACAGGAGCTTACACTTCTGTAGCGCTCTGTATAGCGCTTCAGGTCGGTAAGGAGTCTTTCCCACCCTGTCGAAGGTAGACAGAAAGTTTCTGGCAGCGATGGTGATGGAGAGCGGGATATAATTAGGAAACCGGTGGGGGGTGAGGGGGACGTCAAGTACGCTGAGGAGGGAGGGAAGCTGAGAGGCACCGTTAGTGAAAGAAAAGGAAGGGGCACCTCAGGAAGAGTCACCCACCGGGGCCGACAGAAGCGGGGCGCGCGCGTCGTCTCTGAGACGCGGGGAAAACCTAGACGCCGCGAGGAGGCCAACTGAGAGCGCCCGCCTCAGCGAGGGAAGCTGCCCGGCTGAAGCCCCACCTCAGGGCGACCTGCTTGGCGTCCTGCACCTCGGCCGCCGTTTTCGTCAGTCCCCCTCAGAGTCACTCACCACCAAGGCTGCCAGCGCCAGCAAGCCGCCCGGCTCCACTGCGTTCCTCACACACGCTGAGCCACACACACTCAAGCACGAACTCCCGGACCTTGCGGCCCCGAACGTCTCCCGGAGTGACGGACAGACGGGCCAATCGAAGCCCGGCTGGCCGCAGACGTGCACGGCGGTGGGCGGGGTGGGACCAAACCGCGGGGTCGAGACGACGTCGCGAGGCTGGTGGGTTGCGGTGACCTACCACCGGAAGGCGCGGCTCCGCGGGAAAAGCCGTCTTGATAAGTGGTCACGGCGGTATGGGGCTGAGACCGTCTCCTCAGGAGTAACCGCAGGCCTGTACCGCGCCGCCAGCCTACGATTCCTTTGGCCTTCTTCACCAAACGATTTTCCTGTCCAGTTATAAAGTGCAAGCTGCTTTCCATTGTAAACGTGTATTAACATCATGGGTATAAAGGGTATAAAGGGTAACGGAAACTTGAGTCCACTGTGTCACCCAAGGAACAGATACTAAAAGAAGAAAAATATGAAGTCTTTTATTTCTAAACCTTCAATTTCTTATGTCTGAACTTTTTCTATATTGAACACATTTTGTTAGTGTTTAAATATTGGGTGCAATTTGAGTTATGATTAAATTCCATCTGGCCGGTTAACAAAAAGGCCTGACTTTCTTAATTTTCTGTAACAGTCTTAAAGATTCTCTAACTTCAGTTCTTAATCTCCCGTAAATCTGAAGACGGCTGGTAAAATGGGCAGGTGCTTTGAGTCCAGACCTACAGTGTCAGGGTCTAGCCCCAGCAGGATCCAGGGGAACCCTCAGGATGAACGGCGTCAGCGAATGAGAGAGAGAGACAGAGAAAGAGACCAGACCAGAGTGTGCAGCAGAGTCTGGCAGTTGCTTTATTTTCTACCATCGCCTTTATACCCTAAGTTGGTACATTTCTAAGGGGGAGATAAGCATACAGACTTAGTTTAACATTACATCAGCTTGTCCTTCACGAAACCAGGTGTGCTCTGTATATTTTTGTTTATGAGAGTCTTTTCCCATAGATTTTTTGTACATTATCTTCTGGCCTTGAGGTTAGCAGAAAACAGAAAATTGGCAGTCTCATGGTATAGCAAGTTGCAGCATAATAGAAATACAATCNAAACAAGCCAGAATGCCAGCAAAAGGGTTTGAATTGCATTTCTTTCATCCCTGGCCCCTTCAGAGGGTACCAGCATCCAGGAGATTTATTAGTTAGGGTTTTAAGTTGGTCCTCATTCAGTGAAAGAGGAGCAGGAGAGCTCTCAGCAGACAACACAAGAATCTGCAACAGGGCAAACAAGAACAACAGCAGAAAAGGGGGGAGGATACAGGATGGGGTAGAGGCGAGGCCAACCTGGAGGGTCCCTTAGCCTATACTGCCTTGCCTGTCAGGTTTTTTCCTCGTGACCTCGTCATGGATGGGGTCCCGGACGGCCTTGCCTGCCCGGTATTTTCTTCATGACCTCGTCACAGGCGGGACCTCCCATAACGGCTCCCAGCACTACAGGAATCAAACTAATTTAGCTGAGGCTCCTTCTTTCTTAGAGCATCATTTGAGTCTAAAATAATTAAATCCAGATGCTAAACATGTTTCAGTGTGTGCCTCATTCAGTAATGATGGTCTCACAGAAGTTTCATTTATGAAAAAGTAAACATTGTTGAAATGATGGAGGAGAAATAAGGCTTTCTATAGATGAGTAGTTCTTAAGCAAAACAAACAACAAACCTTACAGCTTTGAAACACATCTTGTAACAAAACACAAAAATCGTTGTTAAATTCTTGCTACCAAAATCTAAAAAGACTTTGGCAGAAATTACCAGCTTATCGAGAATTTCTTCCTCTACACATAAGGTAGAAAAGCATTTACGAAACCATAGATCTACATGGGTTTCTATGAAAATACTGAAGTGCAAGAATACTGGAGGGGGTTGCCATGCCCTTCTCCAAGGGATCTTCCTGACCCAAGGATCGAACCCAGGTCTCAGCATTGCAGGCAGATTCTTTACCATCTGAGCCACCTGGAAAGCCCAGGTCTGTAAGTGTTTAGATACCTGGCAACAGTTTTCTTAAAATTCCATCCTCAAAACACATGCTAATGAACCAGCCATCTGCAGAGTCAAATGGGGAGAGATTCCCTTCCAAACTCCCTCAGTGTGTTGACAAAATTCATTTCCTTGCAGCCACTTGAAGTCCCATTTTCTTGGCAACTGACAACAGGGAACCACTTTTAGGAACTGGAGACCACTCGAGTCTCAAGAAAAACAGTTCAGCTATAAAGCAGAGTCCTAGCTCCTCCTCAAGGGACGGACATAACAGTTTGATACAGTCTTTGAGTTCTGGAAGAACTAAGGCCCACACCTAGGAGGAGGACAGAATGATGATGTTGGCCCTCATGACTTTAATCAACTAAAGCCTAGACGTTTTTGATCATGGCCTGAGTTCTGTGCTGAATTCTCCACTGCTCAAACCCCTTCATGAAAATCCATGTACCTTTAGGTTAAAACTTTCCCCAGTTTGCTTTTGACGGGGAGGGAGACATTGCTTTGGCGGAGATCATGAGTGTTACTTGTCACAGAAACAATAAATGCTTCCTTCTCCCCATCTTTGGCTTAGTCATGCGTTTTGGCTCAACACCCACCAAAAGCTGAATCTACTTTTTGGATAACAATAGACAGACTGCTTGGTTTTTTATTGTAATTTATTTATGTGTTTTAGAAATATATATATCAGTATTCAAACCCAGCATTATGGGGCATAAACAAGGCTTAAGTAGGAATTTTAAAATTTTTAAAGTGAGTTGATCAGAGAAAATATTTTTTAAACACTAGTACAAGTGACTAGGATATAGCGAAAATCAAGAAGGCGTTACTCTAATTTGTAACATTGGCATATAAGAAATTGACTGATGACTAAAGTAATGAATGAACTAGTGGATTCAGTAGGTGTGGAATAAATTATGCAAAGCGATTCAAGAGCCCCTTCGTTGTCAGGAAGGTCTGCAGAAGCCCACCAGGTGCTAAGGCTATTATGTGCAGGCCGTGGAGTACATGGTACACGTGCCGCTCTAAGCAAGCCTCAAACACGACCCACACTGTGGGGGCCTGCAGGCCAGAGTGGGGGCGGGGAGTGCTGCCTTGCGGGGGCGTGGCCGGCCCACCGGGGGTGTGGCCGGTGAGGGGCGGGCCCAGCGGCGGAAGGCGGAAGCTGCCTGAGGTCACCTGACCCGGGAAACATGGCCGCCACCCCTGGCGCCCGGCAGGCACTGTTACCGTGAGCTGCTGGTTGGCTCGGGGCAGGGGGACGGAGACGAGGTCCACGCCCGGGCTCCGAGGGGGCGCGCGGCCCCGCGAGACTCGGGTTGGGACGGGGAGTGGGGCCGGGGCTCCGTCCTGGTTGCTGCGGGGTCCGCTCCTCTGGGAGCCGGGACTCCGTCCTGGATGTTGCGGGTCCCGCTCATCCGGGCAGCTCCTCATGCTTTTGCAGCTAGTGTTGCTGCCCCAGGCTTTAGGCTCTCAATGTCGTGGTTAACAGCAGGAGATGGGCAGTACTGTGTGATCTGGGCCATATTATTTAACCTCCTGGGACCTCAAAGGGGCTGCGGTGAGAGTGAAGCGATGTTGGGTATGTACGGTGCTTAGCCCAGTGCCTGGCGCATGATGCGTCCTCAGTGTGGTCTCTACCAAAACGAGCAAATCCCAGAGTAATCTCCGATGGGAAGGAGGTGGGAAGCGTGACAATTTGTCATGGATGTTGACCTGCCTCATTTCTTACCCACTTTTTGAGAAGTGAAAAGAAAATAAGTTGACCAAATGAAGAAGTCAGATCTAAGATCTCAAGGCTCAGAGGGCTGATGGTTTTATCTCTGTCATATCACCCTTCTTCAAAAGTGGAAGTAGGAATAATTTGTTGTTTCTGCAGTCTTAATTACATGTGCAGTAGCACCCTCTTGTCTGTAGGGGATATGTCCCCAGACTCCTAGTGGATGCCTGAAACCCCTTGGATGGCATCAAACTCTATATATGCTATATTTTCTCCTGCACATACAGATGTATGATAAAGTTTATGATTTATAATTAGGTACAGTAAGAGAATATCCTAACCATCAGCATCACTACTGTTGCACTTGAGGGTTGTTATTAAGTAAAATAAGGGTTACTTGAACATAGCACTACCATACCAGAGTCAATCTGATAACTCAGACAGTTACTAAGTGGGTGTATATCATATACAGCATGAATGTACTGAAGGAAGGGGTGATTCATGTCCTGGTGGGACACCACGAGATTTCATCTCGACACTCAGAACAGCGTATAGTTTAAAGCTTATAGATTGTTTATTTTTGAATTTTCCATTTAATATTTTCTGAACTGCTGTTGACCGTTGGTATCTGAAACTGTGGATAATGGGATTCCACTGTATGTGTAACCATAACCTGACATTTTGCTTAGTTATTTTTGTTACAAAGCAAAGCGTTTCACTGGAAACATTGAGATTTTTCTGCTGTTATTTTACACGTGTATTTTTTTTTCCCCAGCCAAATCTTTGTGACAAAGTCAGGTGGGTAGGTAATTTCAGAGGAGTGGACAGAGGCAGGCTGTGATTTAAGCATCAGGAAATAGAGGCTTTAGTTCCGCCCTGTCCAGTAAGGTAGCCACTGGCCATGGTGACTATTTACATTTAAATTATTAAAGGTAAAAATAAAGATTTTAAATATAGTTTCTCAGTCATTCTGCCTGTATCTCACATAGCCACATGTGGCTGTCGGCTGACATAATGGACAGCACAGATTTTCAAACAGTTCCATCACCGCAGAATGCTTTGTAAGGGCCTAGTATAGTCTGTTGTGTGACGCTCATTTTGTGACCTCTGGCAGATTCCTTAACTCAGGGTTTCTTAACCTCAGTGCTATTGATATTTTTGGACAGGTAACTCTTGGTTGTGGTGGACTTTCTTGTGCACAGTAGGGTTTGTAGCGGCATCTCTGATCTTTACCCACTAGACACCAGTAGCTTTCCATCACTAGTACAACCAAAAATGTCTCCATACAGTTGCCAAATGTCCCCTGGGGATGCAGAATCACCCCAGTTGAGAACCACTGCCTTAACTGCTTTGGTTTCAGTTTCCTTCTCCACTAAAGGGTTTGGATTTTGCCAAGAGGACCCTCCCGTTCAGCTCTAAGATTCAGCATGTCCAGAACCACATTTCTTTCATCAAGCTCCCCTTTCTTGAGTGCCGTCTCTCCCCACAGCTGCTTATCGTTGCCCTGGCTCTTGCCATTGCCAGCAAATTGTATTGATGAGTATTGCTCTGATGATTAGGAGACTCAGAACTCATGTACAGATATGGCTCCATGTCTGTGGTTTTATTGGCTGAAGGTGCAGTGACACTGGTTTTGTCCATCACCCGCTCTGCTTCTCAGAAATGTTTTCTATTTTCATACTTGAGTCATTGGTTGAGCCCTTGAATAGAGGTGCTCATCTCAGCCTTATTCTTGCTTCCAGCACATCCTGTGTGAGTGCTGTCACTCTGTAGGCTGTGCTGGAAGGATTTTGTCTTTAACGGGGTTTGTTTAGTGTTTGACATTGCCTTTGGCTTGTGGAGCTGGGAACGTGAAACATGTGAGAAAGAATTCATGACATTCGATGACGCGGTGGTGAGCCCAGAATGCAGCGTCCAGGGGAGGAGTGGTCCTCCCTGAGATGGTCAGCAGAAGCAGGGGTGGGTTGGAGCTGGCGTTTGAGGCCTGGCTAGGCTGTGGAACGAGACAGGAGCTTGCCTATGGGGTGGCCTGGACAGGAAGTGTCCACGGAGTAGACTAGCAGACCCAGTAGGAAGCTGGGTCTGGCTGGAGGGAGGTTGCGTGTGTAACCAGGCTACAGGCTGGAGAGGCAGCTGGCCCTCTGTTGACCCCCTGAGTGTCAGGTAGAGAGTATGGGCCTGATTCGTGGGACAGGTCTTCCTGCTGTGACCCCAAGGGCTTGGCCCAGTGCTCTAAGGCGGATGGATTTGCTGACCACCTGTTCTCAGGGTTTGCCTTCCAGAAGAAACCACTGTTTGTCTTGTTCTCCTGGCTGTGGACAGTGTTCTCCCCTCAAGTGCAGGGGTGCAGACAGCAGAGACTTGGGGTTCCAGAGCCTTGGGACTTGAAGGGGCCATCATGTCTGCAGTGACCTGGGGTGCCCTGAGCTACATCCTGGTGGGATTCAGGGTGAGGGGCCTTCCAGCTGGTGTGGAGCAAACAGCGGGGTCGGGGATTGTTGCCCGTCTGCTCCCGCTTCTGGAGGCCCTGTTACCCCAAGGGTAACAGGTTACCCTTGCCAGCCTGCCCCGACGAAGGTGCCCATTCCTCATGCTATCCCAGCATCCAGTCTCTGCAGCCTTTCTGGCTTTCAGCGCTCCCTCAATGCAGGTCAGACCACACCACCTGCCGCTGCAGACCTTCCCTACCGTCTGTAGCTGCTCATAGAGCAAAGGTCGCCTCCTCTGCCAAGCCCGTGAGCGGGCGCAGCCTCTCCCCCACCTCTGTCCTTTCAAGCTGCCAAACCGAGTGCCCCTGTCCTTCCTCTGAGCCTTCACGCGTGAGCTTCCCTCTGTCTGAGCTTCCTTCTCCTGCATGAACACCTACTCATCCCTCAGAATCCCTCTCAAAAGCTGCCCCTCATGAAACCACATCGGATCCCCTCCCCACCAGAGATGCGTCACGCTCTTTCTCTCCTGCCCCGTCCTCACCTTGCACGGTCTTCAGCAGATTTTTTCCTGTTTTGCATGAAAGTCCTCATGGCCTCTTGTTTCTCACCCACCGGATTCTAGCAAAAGCCCCTCAGGCAGGGAATGCACCCCGTTTGCTGGCTCTCCAGCGGGCTGGGGGATCCTTTCCAGTGGCTCAGGGACCATTTGTGACCTGAAACAAGGAGACAGACAGGAGGTGGCTCCAGGAGGGGCCGTGCTGCTGGCCAGGCTGGGTCTTCTGCGGCTGCCCGGCCGGAGCCTCGTGAAGGACATTGCTGCGCGTCCCGGGGCTGCGCTTGCGCGGGCTGAGCGGCTCAGCCTGGCTCCCTGGGAGCCGCGCAGGCAGAGGCCGCCGCAGCCCACCTGGGCGGGAGCGGGGGGACAGCTGCTTTCAGTGGCTTTGGTGACCCCCTTCCTCCAGTGCTCCTCAGGCACAAGGAGACAGCAAGCTAGATCTTCGTGGAAGTCAGGAAGCAGGTGTGGAAAATCAAGCTAGAAAAAAGTCATTCTCAGGTTTTGAGTGTATCACCAATGCTGTGAGCGGTGTGAAATCTCAAATCCAGTCTCTCGGATTTTTTTTTTTTAATGATTTTTTTTAAAAATGTTTGCTGCTGCATTGGCCGGGAATCGAACCCGGGCCTCCCGCGTGGCAGGCGAGAATTCTACCACTGAACCACCAATGCTCCAGCTGTCGGCAGCTGTGTGAGCACCTCCCTTTAACCCCAGGACCAGCCTCCTTGTCCACACGCTGATTCCCAGAGTCCGAGGCCACACTCTGAGGCTGCCGCATCAGCACCACCGCAGAAACAGAAGCTCAGACTCCAGAGCAGGAGGGGGCTGAAGGGGTGGGGNGGGGGGGGGTGTCTGTGTGTCTGATTTGCCTTCATCCATCAGGACCGAAACCACCTCAGATCCTTCCCTCTCAGTAACAAGAAGCCCACTGAAACTCCGGGGGCTTCCTCCTCTCTGAAGTGTGGTCCCCCCTCCCCCGTCCACATGGCGTGTGGAGCTGTTTCACAGCTCACAGCCTTCACCACCGCCCACTGCTGGAGACTGGCCAGGGCTGGGGGATGCCCAGGAGTCCCCTGACAGCTGCAGGGCACGCGGGCCTTGGCCCCGCAGCCAGGAAGTGGCGCGTGTGTGGAGAATCCAGCTGCTGGTCACGCTCCCCGGGCAGGGAGGTGCTCCCGGCTTCAGAGCAGCCTTGGCTGCGGCAGGCCGGGTGTGGCTGAGGAGCTGGCTCCTGTGGCAGGATCTCTGAGGGAGTTTGCCTAGAAGGGGCCAAAAAAAGCAGCCCTGCATTGGCCGGGAATCGAACCCGGGCCTCCCGCGTGGCAGGCGAGAATTCTACCACTGAACCACCAATGCTCTGCTGCAGGGCCTTTCTGAAGGGGCTGCTGTCTATGGACACTCAGCTCTGACATCACTGAGACTCGTCTGCCTGGGGTTCTGTTTGAGAATCCAGTGGGTTTATTGCACTGCTTAGGAAGTGTGGGCACCTATGGAACTGCCTTCCTCCCGAGACCCTTGGTTCGTCCACAGCCCTCAGTCCCCAGGGGTGGGCTTGGTGGAATCACACGCTATAACCGGCAAAGCAGGAGGCCCCCCACAGGCCATTCATGCAGACTTTTCCTGGCACCCCGTCTCTGCTAGTCCCGTTCACCTGATGATGGAACGGTCTCCTCCCCTCCCATCCATCTCACAGCATCTTAAAACACAAGCGTCTCTACCCTTCTTGTCCTCTCCCCTATTACAGGGGATCCTAATGCTTTTCTGTTTAATTTAAAACTGTTCCTCCCTGTTCTTGCCACTGCCTCCACCATGTTTAAGCCCCCTGTTTCTGACCTGAGAGCTGGGGTGCTCTCCTCTGGGGGTAGTGCATCTCCTGTCACACCAGCCCATCCCATGCAGGGCAGCATCTCCTGCAGGCCCCACCCCATGACTGAACCTTCCAGCAGCTCGCCTGTCCTTTGCTCTGTCTTCAGCCGCCCCTCGCACAGCCTGGGCTCCTCACCCTCCTCTAGGTACACTCTGTGTTTTCTGGGCCCTGCCGTTAGCCAGGCTCTTCTCTGGGCCTCAGGTGCCCAGCCTTCCCTTCTTCACCTGGACAGTGCCAGCTGCTGACTCTAGGGTCTCACTCAGGTGGCGCCACCCAGGGAGACTTACCTGCAGCATCTGGCTTCTGGGGTGACGCTGTGTGCTGTAGCTGCACCTACTTGTTGTGTGTGGATCCTGCCTGTTGGACATGGGCCCAGTTGAGCCCCGTCCCTGGAAACGATGACAGATAACCGCTTGAGTGCCTGAATGGAGGGCTGAGCAAAAGGTTGAATGAAGGCGGTGGATCATTGCAGGTTTTGGTCCCCAGCACAACATTGGTTGCCTTCTCAGAATTGAGATTGGTCACTGTTCTTTGATCCATTCTCAGTAAGGGGAATGGGAGACCGCAAAAGGGAAAGGGAAAGCCAGCACCCCCCAGTCAGCAGCGGGACTGGGGCAGGACCCGTGACTCCGATTCCTCTTTCTGAGCAGGTCCTCTGCACCCCTCATCCCGCGCCAGGCCCCGGGTCTAGCAGCAGGAGCAGGAGTAGCCTGATTGCACTGGCCCAAGACCCTCTCTTCTCTCTCTCCAGGCTGGTCCGGGAGTTCGTGGCCCAGAACAACACGGTGCAGATCAAGCATGTGATCCAGACCTTGTCTCAGGAGTTTGCCCTGTCTCAGCACCCCCACAGCCGGAAAGGGGGGCTCATCGGCCTGGCCGCCTGCTCCATCGCACTGGGCAAGGTATGCCTTTATCCTAAAGGGATGCACACGCCAGCCGTGGCCTCGACTCTGACCCTGACCCCAGCAGGGGGTCGCAGACGCATGTGTTCTGTTGCCATTCTGTGTACACCCGGGTCAGCACGGCTGGCTCTGCCACCTCGCTCCCCGGTTCCTGGGTGCAGCCCCTAACCCTAGAGGTCGGCTTGCAAAGCGTCTTTGAGCCCAGCCCTGAGTCGAAGGTCTGAGCACCTCCCAGGGAGCCAGGGCTGGGACCCCGGGCTCTGACTCGCTCTGAGTAGCACTTGCGCTCCCACCACGTCACAGGACTCGGGGCTCTACCTGAAGGAGCTGATCGAGCCGGTGCTCACCTGCTTCAGCGACGCCGACAGCAGGCTGCGCTACTACGCCTGCGAGGCCCTCTACAACATCGTCAAGGTGGCCCGCGGCGCCGTGCTGCCCCACTTCAACGTGCTCTTCGACGGGCTCAGCAAGGTGAGCCCTCCATGCTCCAGCTGCTCTGAGCTCGCCCCCTGCCTCCCGGACCTGACCCTCCGGGACTTGAGTGCCGGCTGCCTTTCCCCAGAGGTGGGGGAGCAGATGAGCAGATGCTGCCAGGGACGCTCCTTGTATGTTGAATCTGATGATACATTTTAAAGTGGGCTTGTATTTATGTTTGGTTTCCCCTCACATCTCTGTTAATTTAACTCCACCGCGTTTTGCAAAAGCATCAGTCCACCCCAAGCTGGGGGGAAGACAGCCATCTGAGAGCACTGACCTCCCTTGTAGAAGGCGACGGTGGCGATTCTGCACTGTTAGCTCCTCAGTCGTGTGCGACTCTTTGGCAACCCATGGACTACAGCCTGCCAGGCTCCTCTGTCCGTGGTGCAGACTGTATTTCCCCTGTCAGGAGAGCACAGCCCGTGAGCTCTGGAAAAAGCTCTGCTTAGAAGGGCTCTGGGGTCCCTCTTAGCTCATCAGCGCCTCAGCATCACGGAGTTTCCCTCCATAGAGTCGTTTGTAGAGAATCAGCCTCGAAACTGCTCTGGCCACCCCTCCAGGAGTGGGGGGCGGACCCGGCGTTGTTAGGCTGGAAAGCCCTGGGGAACGCCAGCGGGAAGCAGCCACGCGGCCAGTGGCAGCAGCCCCTGCGGACTCCTGAGCAGAACAGGGCCCCCAAGCGCATCTCTGCGCCTTCCCCAGTTCCGTGTTGCCTCCCTGCCTCCCCTACCTTCCTTCCATCTGTGAACAGGCTCCCCCAAGGCCTTGCTATAGAATTCCAGTGGATTCTTTGCCTTAATAAAGTGACTGTGAGCCTTCTTCTACCTCTGTCTCCCGTAGTTGGCTGCTGACCCAGACCCCAATGTGAAAAGTGGATCTGAGCTCCTAGACCGCCTCTTAAAGGTATTAGTACCTGGTCTCCACTTTTACTTTTAGCATTTCTTTCTTCCATCTGTCTGTGCAGCTTTGAAGATCTATCATTGGGATGGTCTTCCTAATTTAAAAAAATATTTACAGACAGTAAGTGGGATAACATGCAGTTCTAAGTATATAGAGTTATATCAGCATCAGGATCACACTACAGAGCCGTCCGTCGCCCCTAGTGTTCCCACGAGCTCGCCCACCCCGCCCCCAGTGTCGGGCAGTGTATGCTCAGCTCACTGGGCATTCAGTCCAGACCCTAGAGATGTAGGAAGGGTTTTGCCTTTTCATTGCTTCTGTTCCCCTTGATTCCCACTTTCAGTCCATCCTTGCTTGTCCCTTGGTCTGCCTGACACAGGCTCTGTCCTCCTCCTCTGTGGCCGCCTGACCCCTGAAGTCAGGCACTCAGCCAGGTCAGGTCACCCAGCCCCCAGCAGCTCATACGCCTTTGACCCCCAGGACATCGTGACGGAGAGCAACAAGTTCGACCTGGTGGGCTTCATCCCCTTGTTGCGGGAGAGGATTTACTCCAACAACCAGTACGCCCGGCAGTTCATCATCTCCTGGGTAAGATCTGGCCCTGAGGCCATTTCTCACTGCCCGTGAGCCTCCTCTCTGACCCACCTGGACGCGTCCCGTGGCTGTGGAGGCGCCTCACTGTTGCCCCTCCAGGAGCCGTGATGGCACATGATCCCAAAACACATTTCCTCAGCTCTGCCCCCAGAGCCCATCACGTTCACCTCTGAAGCAGATGGGGTTCCTTCCTCATCTCCGGAAACACCCAGATTTCTCTTTGAAGCCAGCCTCTCCCCCGGGTTGCCTGCCTTTCCCGCGGGTTCGCTTCTCCTCAGGGTGTCTGAGCTGCTGTTTTCCTGAGCGCTGAACAAAAGCAACGGCAGCCGGCACGCCCTCCCCCGGGCACACCCCAGGGCCATGACCTTCCCTGATAGTCTCCTTCCTGGGTCAGATCCTGGTGCTGGAGTCTGTGCCTGACATTAACCTGCTGGACTACCTGCCGGAGATCCTGGATGGGCTCTTCCAGATCCTGGGCGACAATGGCAAAGAGATCCGGAAAATGTGAGTGAGGAGGGGAGCACAGAGCTGCATACGTGCCCCACACACCCTCACAGGTGCCAGGAGAACCTGAGGTTCACTCTCCTCTTGGCGCGTGAGCTTCCCGCTTTGGGATGCCGAGAGCGTCTCCTCCCCCAGCCTCTGAAGTGGTCCCTCTGACCTGGGCGCCCATGCCGAGCAGAGCAGAGACGGCGCTGGGGAGGCTCCCCGGCCCGGGCGGCAGGGCTATCTCCCTCCTCCTTCACTCACTGCAGGTGTGAGGTGGTCCTTGGAGAGTTCCTAAAGGAAACGAAGAAGAACCCCTCGAGTGTTAAGTTTGCGGAGATGGCCAACATCCTGGTAATCCACTGCCAGACCACGGGTGAGCACGTGGCAGGCCCGCGAACCCCATTCTTCTCAGAAGCCCCCCTCCCCGTGCTGGGCAGAGTCCTGCTGGGAGTAGGAGGCGGTGTGACGGCGGGTCCTGGGGCCGTGGGGCCTTGAGGGAGAGATTCTGCTTCTGTTAGCACGGAGGCCTTTTCACTTGGTCTGGCCTTAGATGGGGGAAGATCTGGAGGCCTCCTTGCTGGCAGGCTTGGCATCAGCACCATGAATTGAAAGGCTTGGAAGCTGGGGTCGTGTAACTGCTTGTTTCTATTGAGTATCAAACCACCACCAGATGTAACTCCTGCCCATCGCAGTCCCTTGTTACTGACCTCAGGCTTCAGGTCATCTGGGCGGCCCTGACCCCCTGTGCCAGGCCAGGGCCGGGGGGAATCGTGTACCTACAGTCAGCTGGGGGTGGGCTGAGGCTGGGTGGTCCGTTGTGTCACTAGTGTCTGGCTATCCAGCTGTCACCCGTGGCAAGCGGCGACAGTCGTTCCAAGTGCCGTCACCCGGTGGGCTAGCCTGGGTGCGTTCATGTGATGTCGGCGGATTCCAGAAGACAGGAGGCGTCAGCGAGGCTGGGGCTGGAGGCGTCCTTTCTCCCGCCGTCTCTCGGCCAGCCCCGCAGCGGGAGTGGGGAAATAAACTCCCGCTCCTGGTGAGAGGAGCTGCAGAGTCCCCCCGGGGCGCGGACACAGGAGGGCGGAGCGCCATGGCTGCTCTCAGGGCGGCCGCAGGACTGCCGTCGTGTGCCCCTGGTGCCCGCGGCAGGAAAGGGCGGGAGTCCCAGGGGGCCGGGAGCCACGCCAGCCCTCGGCCCCACTCCAGGGCTCCAGAGCCCGTGGGCGCGTGGGGGGTGGGCACCGGCCGCGCTCACCCCGGGACCCCGTCCCCCCACAGATGACCTGATCCAGCTGACGGCCATGTGCTGGCTGCGGGAGTTCATCCAGCTGGCCGGCCGCGTCATGCTGCCCTACTCCTCAGGGATCCTGACCGCCGTCCTGCCCTGCCTGGCCTACGACGACCGTAAGAGGAGTATCCTTCACCCCGGAGAGCGGAGACAAGGGCAGCCCTGAGGGGCGCGAGGTCACCCTGGGTGGGGAGGGGGCCCAGGACCCACCACGCCTGCAAACAGCCCTGGAGCAGGAGGCAGAGCAGAGCGTGACCTCGGAGGGCCCAGGCGGCCCAGGATGCCCGGGCCTCAGCTGCGTCCTCAGAGATCTAAGCGGCTCTCCCAGGCCCGGGCTGCTGAGTCTCTGCCCTCCTCGGGGGTGAGGGGTCCCCCAGGAAAGTAGGAGACAGGGCAGCCCCTTGGGGGAGCAGAACGGGTTCTCAGTCCCGCCTGGCTGGGGCCGCTCCTTACATCGGCGCGCTCAAGATATCAAGGAGGTAGCCAACGTCTGCAACCAGAGCCTGATGAAGCTGGTCACCCCCGAGGACGACGAGCCCGACGAGCCCAGGCCGGCGGTGCAGAAGCAGGCAGGCCCCAGCCCCGAGGGCTGCGCAGCCACGCAGGAGGGGGCAGCCAGCGGTGAGTGGGCTCTGCCTTCCGCCCCCACCTCCCCGCGAGGGCCTGGGAGCCCGGAGGTTGGAGAACTTGACGTGGGGTCTCCCTCGGCCAGCCAGGGCTGTTTCTGTGTCTCAGCCCCTAACTCTAGGAACAGCCAGGCAGGTGAGAACTGCTGCCTTCTTTCTGCAGCTGGGCACAGAGAGAGGAGTCCCACCACCAGCGTCTGGCTGCTCCTGGGGCAGGGGTGGTGTTTGAGCCCGGCAGTCAGCCTCCAGAACCCGTAGTTCTGAACTCTTTCTGCCCCAGAGAGCATTCATTCTTTCCTCAGTCTTGTTCTGAGCTCAGCTACAGTCGAGGTAGAGAGGCGTGGAACCTGGCAGGAGGGCCGTTGCATCTGCAGGCTCAGCTAGTCTCGGGGGTGGACATCCAGTGACTCAGGCACCGCCTGCCTTTCCTCTGCCACTCATTCTCAGGGAGGTGAGTTTCAGACCAACCCAGCTGTGGTTTATTCAGTCCTTGGGAATTCTGCTCCTCTCCTCTAACGTTAATGTCTTGTTTGTCCTTCACATGAAGAAAACCGCTTTTATGCCTATTGGAGTCTAGAGTTGGACTCTCTAAATGTAGAACTCTGAGACTTTTTTCCATCTCTTGGACTCGGTCCTCACCCAGAGGTCCCCGATGAGCTCTGGGATGATGTTCTCCTTTGCAAAATCGGCCAAAGACTAAACTGATGCAGAACCTACTGAAATCTTTAAGGCTAACGGACTGATGTCTGGAACTTGCCCCCCAGGAGCCAAAAGGGTTCCGAAAGCATTTTGTCCCATTGGCTTCTCTTGAACGTCAGCAGAATGGCAGGCACACGTGTCCCGTGGGCGTCCTCAGGGGCCTGCCCTTCTAGAGTGGAGCAGCACTGATGCTGGACCGTCCCAGTGTCAGGTTACAGCCACGCCCGCGTCCCGTGAGTCAGCGCAGCAGAACAGCTGGGGAGGAGGAACGCTCAGCTGGAGCATTGGTGGTTCACTGGTAGAATTCTCGCCTGCCACGCAGGAGGCCCGGGTTCGATTCCCGGCCAATGCAGCTCACTTAACCTTTTCGACAGCTTTCCTAAGCCTTCCTCAAACAGCTCTCTGCTCAGGAGAATCTTGGTCCTGAGTCAGGACACATACAAGGCAGCTTGGCTCCAGATTTTACTGCCTCGTAAACAGCACTTCGGCAGACTCAGAGCTCACTTTATAGTAGTTCCCAGAAATGGCACCGGCGAATTCTGGGGCTCCACAGCCTCTCCAGACCTGCTCAGCTGGTCCCCAACCACTGCTTTTCCAGCACGCCAGCACAAGGTGCCAGCAACCCGAGAGAGTACACATTTCCTTACGTAGTCCCCGGCTTCAACCAGTGCTGACGCCAGCGCTCTCTGCCCATCTCTTCCAACCTGGCGGAGGCAGCGACTTCCTGCCTGGTCTCTCTCGCTTGGTGCCCCCATCCCCACCCAGCCTGCGCCATGCAGGCCACGGCACACCCCGGGCAAGCCCCCCAGTGAGGCCTGGCAGCCAGGCCCTCTGTGCACGAGTGCACGCACACTCTCAGGAGCACACTCGAGTGTGTGCACACACAGGCACACACACGAGTGCGCGCACACTCACAGACATGCACACGCAAGTGCACGCACACACATACTTGAGTGTGTGCACACACACATACTTGCGTGCAAGAGATGCACACACACGAGTGTGCATGCACATAGTCACACACTTGTGTGCGCACACACTCGAGTGCACGCACACTCAGACACACACTCAAGTGCACACAGGCACACACAAGTGCGCTTATACAGACACAAGTGCGCGCACTCAGACATGCACACATTTGAGTGCGTGCACACACAAGCGCATGCACACTCAGACACATGCACATGAGTGCATGCACACTCACACGTGCACACATGGGTGCGCACACACAGACACGCACACACACTCAGAAACACGGGTGCACGTGCACTCAGGCACGCACACACTCGAGTGCATGCACACTCAGACATAAAGTGCATGCACACTCACAGACGTACACACACTCACAGATGCACACGCACACAGGTGTGTGCAGACAGACATGGTGCGCACACTCAGACACGCACACGTGTGTGCACACTCACACCCGCACACTCAGACACGCACACACTCACTCTCAAATGCAGGTGCTTCTCCCTTGCCCCACCCCACAGGGCTCCAGTCAGGGTGGCTCTTGTTCGGTTGATTGCCCCCAGCCCCTCTGCGTTTTGCCCTGGCTACCTCCCCTGACCCTTCTGCCTGAGGAGTCCACAGCACAGGGTCCTTTCTCTGATTCTGAGCTCCCAGGCACTTGGTGCATCCTCCTGTCCCCCCATGACGTTTCCTGACTGTCTCGGGCATCACAGTCTGCACTCTGGTCAGACCTGCCTGCCTGGGCATCCTGCCTGCTGCCTTTATGCCTGTTGCCCTTGGACAAGCCCCTTGGCCTTTCTGTGCTTCAGGTTTCTTATTCATTGATGGGAGCAATAGTGATAGTACGGAACCTATGGTGTGGCTGTGAGTGTTGGAGGAGATTTTTTGCATGTAGAGCTCTTAGCACATGGTGTGGGTCACACACTCCCAATAACAGGCGCTTCAGTGTCAAGTTGTTTCAATGTCTGTTTATAATGAGACCCACCACTTAGCAAGAGTGTCAGGGGCAGGACTTTGGCTCCCTTGCCTTTTGGCATTAGCTTTGCCCAGGTGGTAATGGGCCTCTGATGGGTCCTAGATGACGGATCGTAGTGGTTTAGGGATGGAAGTTCAAGCGGTGAATGAGAAGCACAGCTATAAACACAATTTCCGGTGGAGGACTGGTGACCTCCGTGGGTGAGCATGAAATGGAATCCACCTATTTGCAAAGCTTTGATGGGATTGTTACCAGCACTGCAGATCTGAGTGACTCAGATCCAGGACCTGCCAGCAGAGAGCTCAGGGTTGGATCCTTAGATGAGTGATCACAGGACACTGGACGTGCTCACAGAGGACTGGGGGCACCCGGCCAGGCTTCGTGGAGGGCATTTGAACTGAATCTCTTCCTTCTCGTTCCCTTCCACTCTCCTGTACCACCCTCATTTTTCACTCTAGTCCCAAGAGAAATGCACATTCCCTGGAGAGATTTTGGAGCAACCAGACACTCCTGTTAGGAGAGGGTGAAGAGTAAACACCTTAAATACATTGTTTGGTAGATATCAATACATTTGGCAGCATGTTCCAGAACATTTAAGAATTTATCCTCAGGAAACAGAGACATGGGTCAGGTTTTCCGTCTTAACCCCTGAACACCCATTGGCTCCATTATTCTCATAAGACTCCAGGGAGGCCCTGGCATCACACAGGTGAGGCAGTGGGGTGAAGGCAGGTGACCTACCCAGAAGTCACACAGTGAGGAAGTAGAGGAGTCAGACTGAGACCCGGGCCCAGGGGCTCCTGAGTCTGGAGATTGAAACAAAAGGGCAACTGAAGATGCCAATCTTGACTGGGAACCCCAGAATCACAAAATAAAACGGTCTCATTTTTACTCATCGATTTGGCAAACACTGTAAAGATAACTAGTATCCCAAGGCTTCCAAGGTGGAGGGTGGGCTGAACAACTGCTGGCAGGTATGTGGACCCTTCCTAAAGGCCAGCCTGGTGAGGTCTGTTCAAGCCGCCCGGGTCTGGCCCTCCTGCTCAGCAGCCCCCTCTCACGGGGTCCTGGGGAAGTGCCCACACTTGTGCAAAAGGAAACAAAGGTGAGGTCTCAGAGTGAAAATAGGAAACTGGAAATTCATCTGAAGCCAGTTTTTAACATTGTATCATTTCACCTATAAACACGTGTGTTCCCAGCAGGCGGAAAGGAGGGAGGCCCCAAGCGGCAGGGAGCTCCAGCCACTGTTCCTGGCGGGCCCACCCAGGTTGCCCCAGGTTCCCCCAGGCCTGTTCAGGTAATTGGACTCTCCTGAAGCAGCTGCACCATTTCCCATTTCTACCAGCAGTGTATAAGGGTTCCAGTTTCTCCGCCTCCTCACCATCACTTGCTATCAATATCTGTCTTTTATTTAATGGGTGTGAAATGGCATCTCACAGTTTTGATTTGATTTATGTCTCCCTGGTGGCTTGTGATGTTGAGTGTTTAACAAGTGACTTTTAACATCTGTTGCCCTTGAACCAGCAGCCCCTTCTGAGATTTCCCAGATGTGTTCAGCACTGATACCCCTGCTTGTGAGACCACTGTGCCTAAGAACCTACAAGCATGCATACCATCCAGAAGTTTTAGGGACCACTAGGCATGGGGTCTTCAGGGCCCCAAAGCCACTTTCCTCTCCAAGAGCCAGAATCAAGGTGTGGGAGACTGGAGGGTCTGTGTGTCCTCGTGAACAGGGGCCTTGTTCTTCTAAAGGCCCCAGTGACCTTTATCGTGATGCCTCATTCCTCTTTCTCTCCCCAGGAGGGCCTGATGGTTCCTGCAACTCTAGCTTCAGTAGCGGCATCAGTGTCTTCACTCCAGCCAGGTAAGTGGTTTGTTTTGGCCAGCACTGTTTGTGCAGAGCTAGCAACGTACATCATTTCTGGGCACGGGAGATCGCAGCAAACCCTGAGGCAGATTTTGCTCAGGGTCAGCACTTGTAGGATACAAACTGTCTGATGAGGGAGTCCAGAGGACACTAAACAGCCCACCCCACCTGGTTCTGGGGGACACATAGCCTCTTGGGAAGGACTAGAGGCTGTGAGAGATCAGTAAATACAAGGTATAAGAGTATAGCTCTAGGTGACTCAAGGTAAAGAATCCGCCTGCCAATGCAGGAGACCCAGCTTCAAGCCCTGGGTCAGGAAGATCTCCTGGGGAAGGAAATGGCAACCCACTCCAGTACTCTTGCCTAGGAAAGCCCATGGACAGAGGAGCCTGGCGGGATAGAGTCCACGGGGTCACAAAGAGTCAGACAGGACTTAAGAGACGAGACAACAATAATAGTGTAGGTAACGCATGGTGACCACAGGGGTACCTTGCGGACGCCTTTGCCCAGCCCCGTTTGCTTGTGCAGGATAATGTGAGGCCGATGCACCTCTCTGGGGAAGGCCATTCATGGAGCTCAGAGCACATGCAGTGATTGACTGAGCCGGAGCGTGCTCACCCGGGGGTGGGAGCTGTCCTCCAAGGCTGGCTGCAATGGCGCCTCCTTCCACGTGGGGGCAGTGCAGGCCAGGCAGGGAGATGGCCATCCCAGAGGGGACTGTCCACGCTCTGCAGGCTGATGACGGTCCCGAGAGGGACTGTCCACGCTCTGCAGGCGGATGACGGTCCGGGCAGGGACTGCCTGAGCCCCTGGCCTGGCCCCCGGCCCCACTTTGTCAGGCACGGCTGGCTGCGGGGCTGGAATGGATGCAGCTCCTGTATGGGGTTCTTCCCTCTGAATCCAAGCCTGAGCGCGGGCCCTGAGGGCACAGGTCACTCACAAGAGAAAACGTGTGCTTATCCCCAGGAGACTCTCTTCTCTGCAGACCCTGAGGAGGCTCTTCTCTCCATTCACATTGTTTTCTCACTGACTCCTCTCTCAGGACCTTGGGGGTGTTTTCAGAGTACTGACCGTAAATATGGACTCTTCCTAGGATCTCTCCCACATTGTTGGAGCAAGCCAATGAACACCATTCATTTATTTGTTTTTAGTTTGTTGTCATACATCCAGAGCCTGTGTTCAACCCTGCAGTTTCTAAGAAAAAGATGTGGTCCCTGAGCTTGAGGTTTTCCAGTGTGGGGGCAGAGACGTAAGCAGGAAGTTATGGGAAAGGGTGGTGACGGTTGTGCGGGGGCTCAGAGGGTGTTAAGGCCAGCGCTGGTGCCCCGCTGAGGCTCACTGGAAATCCGGCTGCCCAACTCGAGCGCTCAGGGAGGCCTTCCCGGGCCTGGCTGGTGCCCCGCTGGAGCAACGGCTGCCCACCTCAAGCACGCCGGGAGGACTTCCCGGGTCTGGCTGGTGCCCTGCTGAGGCTCGCTGGAGCACCAGCTGCCCACCTCGAGCACGCGGGGAGGCCTTCCTAGGCCCGGTTGTGCCCCGCACTCTGGGTCACGTTGTCGGGTTCTGCTGATGGTTACATTTCAACTCCACAAGCTCAGTATCAGTGCTGTCTCCACGTCAGGGCTGAGGAGGGACAGGAGGTCAGGGCTGCGGTAGAGACTGGATTTAGCAGGGTCTGAGGTGGGCGCAGGCCAGTCAGGGGCTTACTGCCACGTCCCAGTTAGACGGGACAGAGGCTCAAACTGAAGAGGCGGCAGAATGTAGAGAAAGTTGATTGACTCAGGGAAGAGGTCTCAATGGAGATGCAGGCAGACTGGCCCACCCTGCTGAGGATCCACTCTGGAAATCGAAGGGCCCTGGCAGGGAGGGCCATGTGGTCTCGAAGCCCCTACGGCAGTGTGAGAGAGGACAGGTGTGGGCGCGGGGCAAAGCTAGCAGGAAGGCCTGGTGAGCCTCGTCACTAATCTAGGCTGCTGGGAGGGGTTGGTCCAGGAGGACCGGAGATCGGCTGTGACTGACGGCCCTGTGCAGGAGGCACAGCTCCCCCCCGTCACTGGGGAGACAGTGGTTCCTCCGCCCAGAGGAGGCCCTGATTCCTGCGCTGTGGCCGGGAACCCCTGACTGGGACCAAGACTTGCTTTATACCCATCTCAGCAGCGAATGCTGAACCAGGCTTTGAAATTGAAAAGCCACGGAGAGCATATTATCTGGCGCTCTGTTTCCCTCAGACGGAGGCTTCCTCGTGGCAGCTGCCAACCGGAGTCACCAGCTGTACCAGAGAGGGGGCGGCCCCAGAGCCGGGAGACCTGAGCCCAGCCCTCCTGCTAGAGGCGGCAGCGGAGGACGGAGGCTGGGGTGCCTGCTCTGCCGGTTGGTGCTACCTGAAACGGGCTGAGCTCGGGCACGCCGGCCTCTCGCAGGGTCCCCGCGAAGTGTAACTTGGGCTGCAGGTTTCCGACGCACAGTCATCCCGGGCACTGCCTGCACAGGCGGGCCGCTCCCACCACGTCCAGGCCCGCTGAGGGCAGCGGGACCCCTACCCGCCTAGCAGACAGCCAGCAAGGTGACAGTCTGCTGAAAGCTCTGGGCTCTGGCCTTGTGCATGAGACTAGGTACGGCTTTAGAGGACCATTGTCATCAGGGATATTCAGTACAGGTCTCCAGTACAGTATAGCTGGCTGCAGCAGGCAAGCAGAAAGATCTAGAAATCAGTGCTTCCCAACTTTTAGCACCTGCTGATTGAAAGATGTGACAAAGATCTTTTATTAAAAAAAAAAAAAAGCTTGAATTCAGAAACAGTTCCTTTTTTAGACTTACCTTTGTTCTAATTTGATTAGAGCTGTAACAGAGGAGTGCCATAAAGGGTTAGATGTTACAGAAATAAAGTGCTGCTTCCCACGGAGAAGTGCTGGGCTTTATCAAGATGTGTTAGTAATATCAGAACCCTTATGCCTGAAGTCAGTGTTTTAACAGCACAGAACCACCACGCATTTGGAAGTCATAGTACATGTACACGTATGACCGTCGTTATGAGATGCTTTCTGAGAAAGTGCGTAGTGAGAACAGGGTTTTGCAGACAGCATGAAATAACTCACAAGCACCCAGGAGTAACTAGACTCTCTGGAACCAGCACAGAAATGTGTTCTAAGCTGTGTCTGAGCTCCATTCCATTCTCCGGGTGGGGTGAGCCAGGGTGGAGGGTGCACACCTCTGGCTCCAGACCGGCAACTCAGGAGCTGAGCACCGGGCGTAGCGTGCCGGCGCCAGGAAGAGCCCAGGTTCCAGAGCCCCAGCTTCGCATGGAGCTCACACCGAGCCCAAACAGTGTAGATGGTCCCCTGGCAGGGTAGCTGAGAGCTGCCCCTCGGAGTCAGGATCGCCCGCTCTCCCTGTCCGTGGCGCCCTGGGCCATTTGGCCTCCCGGGCCCTTCCCCTCCAGCCAGCCAAGGACATGGGAGCCAGGGAGATCGTCCCCAGCTGAGGGGGACGCACCAGGCCTCCTGGCCTCGGGCAGGTCCTGTAGTGTCCCATCGCGCACCAAAGGGACCCAGGGGCCTGTTGGCTGGCTGAGGCCGACGCCCACCTCACCGTCAGCCTGGGGAGGGCCGCTGTGCCCGCGCGACACCCTCCCTTCCTTGTCTGGCCCAGGGCAGCGCCCCGAGGGAGGCGCAGTCACAAGCCAGCCCTCGACGTCTGTGCTCTGTGGACCTGCTTCGCTGGCCCGCAGCACCTCGGGATTGTCGTCAGTCAAGGAGCCCGGCTGCCCGAGGGCTGTCTAGCCTGGCTTCCTGGGGCCACTGGGGTTTGGCCTACCACCACCCCGAGATGAGCGGCAGCTTCCTTGGTGTCCCCCTCCCTGGGAAACGGTGCTGCTGGGGTGCTTGAGTGCAGCACGTCAGGAGGCAGAGCCGTGCGGTGGGCAGGGCCACCCTGGGCTCAGACGCCGAGAAAGCGCCAGTTCCATGCTTGGCAGCCGCATGCTGTGCACGGGTCAGCTAGCGCCTCCCTGCTCTGCCTGCCTCATCTGCAGCCTGGGAGTAACACGGCTCAGTGCAGAGCCCAGCACTGTGCTTGCCCAGAACCTGCGCGCGCGTCGTCTCGCACACACACCTGTCATCACTGCTCAATGTCAGAGCCCGACCCCCAAGCGTCATGCACCCCCCAGGGCCCGGACTGCAGGTGGAGCGGGAGCTGGGCTCACACTGCCTCCCGGCCCCCAGCAGCTCAGGGCACAGCTGGGCCAGGTCCCAGGGACCGTCCAGGCCTCCCCCCGAGGGCTGTTTCAGCCAGGAAGCGGCAGGACCTGCGGGGCAGGGGCCCTTGTGCACCTCCTGCTGTGCAGAGGGCCTCTCTGGAGCCCTCGGCTCACAGGGCCAGGAAGGGGCTTCCGGTCATTCCCCACTGCTTTCCGAGCTCATTTCACTAAGACCTCGGGCTCCAGGAAGGTGTCTGGAGTGTCTCCTACCATGGGATCCTGCCCGCCCAAGGAGAGCTTACAGAGCACGCCCGAAGGAGCCCAGGAGGAGGCTGGTGCGGTGGGGCACAGCGGGACCTGGAGATCAGACAGGGAGAGGGAGTCAGGAACTTGTCAGAGGGGAAGAGGGGATGGATGGTGCCGCAGAGCCGTGCCGTCCACGCAGGCGCCTCTGCCCCTCATGACCGCTGCGCGCACCACGGCCTGTCTGAGCCGAGGGCGCTGAAGGCAGGACACGCGGGTTTAAAAGACTCAGGACACTGAAGAGAGTGTGCACAGTCTGTTACTGATCTCTGCGTCGTCTTTTATGTTGATCACATGTTGAAATGATATTTGGGGCGTATTGCATGAGTGCATGCTCAGTTGTGTCCGACTCTTGCCCTCCAGGCTCCTCTGTCCATGGAACTTCCCAGGCAGGAATACTGGAGTGGGTTGCCATTTACTTCTCCAGGGGATCTTCCCGACCCAGGGATCAAACCTGTGTCTCCTGCACCTACTGTATTGGCAGGCGGATTCTTTACCACTGTACCACTTGGGAAGCCCTTGGGGTATATTGGGTTACTTAAAATATATTGTTAAATTTAATTTCACCTGTTTCTGTATACTTTTTAATGTAAAGCCAAAAAACATAAAATTCCATGTGTGACTTGCATTATATTTCTAGTAAATAGTGAGAAAGAGAGAGAGGTGAAGAGCAGCGGGTTCCTGGGTGGCTGAGACTGTCTGGGAGCCCGCCTTTGCCACCCTGGACTTGTCTGTCTGTGCGTGAGTTTCTCCATCTGTCCAGGCTGCTGAAGAACTCAGATGCTTGGCTGTCCTCGGAAGACCCCAGCACTTGCAGCCACATGGCTCTTGGGGAGCCTCAGCAGCAGCCCCACCCCAAGGCTCAGTCTGCTGGGCCACATCCCTCACACATACAGCCCCCCGGCCACCAGAGGCTAGAAGTGCCCGCTCATGCCCCCAAAACGAGCTCCATGGGGAATCATCAAACCATGTTAAATAGCACTTCCATTTAGCACTTAACAGAGCTCAGAACCCTGCCCTTTAGGAGTTCACATCAAACAAGCTTCAGAGAGGCTGCAGGCGAATTGGGAAAGCATAGGCCTTGAGTTCCTGACGCAAATGAATAATTGAACAGTCTGGAAATACCACGGAAGACCGTTTTGTCCAGGCAGGCAATGGCGTTCTGCGTCAGATGGGAAGGGAGCCCCTCCCAACACCTTAAGGGCCCCTGTCCTTGCCAGCCCCATCCCAGAGAATGCCGGCCTCTGTCTGGGGACCCCACTTTGGGCAGAGGGCTCAGGGTCTGTTCCAGCGGCACCCAGCCTTCCCGGGGCTGCTTGGCAGGACTTTTATCTGCCTGGAGACCAGCAAGGCTTCAGGCCAGGGGAGCAGGGAGCCTGCACCCCGCCCTAGAGCGCAGGCATTCTGAGCAAGCTCCAGTCTACAGGCTGAGCCTGTCACCTCCTTCCTGCCTCAGATGAGAACGTTAACAACTTCAGAGGCGGCTCTGAAGGCCCCTCACCCAGGCCGGCCGCTGTGCCGAGGGCCCTGCGTGTGACTGGTTGAAGCACCATGGGTCCTTGTTGGAGAAGTGGGCTTTGAGTGCCTGGGGCAGGGCCTGTGTTACTTAGGGGCGTCCCTGGGGCCTTTCCCTGGGCTCTTTGGACAGGGAGGTTTTGTTTCATTGACAGGCTCTGGACGTAATGCGCTGGGGGCGCTGAACTGCCTTTCAGCTACAAGGTCCGCTGGTCCAGAGCTTGTTAACATCAGAGGTGTCCGCCCTTCTGCACCTTCTCTGGTGCAGCCCGCTGCTAGAAAGGGGGCTGCGGGTAGCTGCCCAGCAGACTGGCCCTCCTGCCGCAGCGTGGGTGTCCGTGCTCCCACCTGGCAGAGCAGCACCCTGGCGCCCCGGGTGGGAGTGCGGGGCCTGTGGGCCTCAGGCCAGCTCCCTCCTGGTCTCGCCCGCAGCGCCGAGAGGGCCCCAGTCACCCTCCACCTGGACGGGATCGTGCAGGTGCTGAACTGCCACCTCAGCGACACGGCCATCGGCATGATGACCAGGATCGCCGTCCTCAAGTGGCTCTACCACCTGTACATCAAGACCCCCCGCAAGGTGAGCCCCCGGGCTGGAGCGGCGCTCCTGGGTGGTCTGCAGGGCCTGCCCGCGCCTGGCAGGATCCTGGGGTGGGAGGCCCCTGCCGCGGGCTCACACGGCCCCTCCCCACAGATGTCGCGGCACACGGACAGCCTGTTCCCCGTGCTCCTGCAGACGCTGTCGGACGAGTCTGACGAGGTAGGTCCCCATCCTCCTCCCGGCTCTGGCCGCCGGCCTCCCCTGCTGAGGGCCCGGTGTAGCTCAGAGGGACTTATTTTGCTGTGTTCTCTTAAGCCAGCACCCCTAAACTCCCCCCGTTGCTCCTGTTTGGTGAGGAGCAGCCGTCAGGGAGAAAGCTTTGTCTCCTGCCCTCCGGAGATAAAGGCTCTTGCTCTGCTGGCCCTTCTGACGAGCGCCGGGTCTGGCCGTGGCGAGGAAGCCAGTCGGGCAGGGAGCCCCGGTCCCTGGGAGGCCGTGGGGAGTGTCGGCAGGAAGCCCGAGGGCGAGCTCCGGCTGCCTCGCTGCCCAGGGCCGCTGCCCGACCCTGCGTCTCGGTTTCCTTTCTCCATCCAGTGGGGTAGTGACAGCACAGAAGGGTGTGAGAAATGTCTCCAGAAACGCCAAGTGCTGTGCCGGGCACCAGCCGAGCCCTCAGAGCACCAGTTGTGATCCCTTTCAGCTCGACTCCTTTCTGGCCTCCGGTTTGAACTTGGACCCTGAGTCTTCACTTTTGTTGGGGGTCACCACAAGCTAAAGGGAGAGGCTCGCCCCCTCCCAGGCAGCGGGAGTGGCCCTGAGTGGGGTGGGCAAGGGCTGCGCCCTCAGCCTCCCCACACCATGCCAGCAGCGTCCTGCTTGGGGGCCTTCTTGGTCGGACGCCCCGCCTCCCAGCCGAGGAGCAGGGCTTGCAGCCGGGCATTGCCTTCTCCTGGGGGGCATCCCTGCCCTCCACCCATGCCCACTCTGGGCTTTGTGCTGGATGTTGGTGGCCCTGGCCCTGACCCACCCCTCTCCTGCCCTCCTCTGGGCCCCATGAGGCAGCAGGCGCTCGCATCTGCAGACCTCCCAGCGGCGAGCAGGAGGGGACGGGCTGGGGAAAAGGGAACGGGACCTGGCCCATATCTTCCCATGCAGGAGGTGCCTCAGTCTCTCCTGTGCTGGCCCCTGGCTTGTGTGGGGTCCTGGGCAGCCGGCCTGCAGCCTGACTTTGCTTCCCTGACCCTGAGCCACAGAGAGATTCAGACAGGCAGGTGTCCACCTCCAGGTCCTCTCAGTTCCTCCACGTTTTCTTAAACTCAAAGCAGATGGTCTGGGCCTCTGCTCAGTACCCCTCCTGCCTGTCCACCATGCACCCGTGTGTGCACGCTCACACACCCCGCCTCCCCCCACCCCCGCCGCTGCAGTGCACACACACACACACACTGCCTCCCCCCACCCCCGCCGCTGCAGTGCACACACACACACACACACACACACACACCCCGCCTC